CCCCACCTGCCCCTGCGTCCTAGTCCTGTCATGTCCTGGCTCTTGAGGAGCGGTGCGTGTCTGTGTCACGTGCACACAAGTGTCTGTTCTTGTGTCCCCTCTTCTCTCCCCATATGCCTCCAGTCCAGACCGTGCAGAGAAACCCCCAGCTGGTCCTGGAGGGCGGCCCCCTGGTCCCCCTCCCTCACAGGGATGGCTTCCTGGAGACCAGTATCCCTGTTCCCGCGCTCACCTGGCGAGACAGGCCCCGCCCCAGCCCGAGCTCTGCTGAGTGTGTGTAACCCCCCTGCTCGTGGTGGTGTCTGCTTCACCGGCTGACCGTTGGTCCTCAGGGACCCCCGTGCCCTCCTTGGCCACCTGGAATTTGTGGAACTGTGGTGGCAAGAAGCAGAGACCGGGCAGGACAGGCCCCGGGAGCAGGCTTGGTGCCCCCTCTCTGGACACTGAGCAGAGCAGGGAGGGGACCCAAAGCAGAGGAGGCGCACGAGCCCAGAGAGGGGAGCAGCTGCCTCAGGGTCACCCAGCACAGGTGTCAGTCCGAGGGTCTCTCCCCCGTTTGTGAGGCTAGCAGCAGGAGTTGGGGTGAGGCCTCGAGCCCGCTGCGACCCGCCTGACCCCCAGGAGAAGACTTCGGTCCTGGCGAGGGGTTGGATTCTCAGGGCCCCACTCCCTCTCCCTGAGGAGGTCCAGGCATCTCCTGCACCTCATCTAGATGTGGGTCCTGTAGCCGAGCCCCGTTCTCAGGCTGGACCCAGGTGAGCCTGGCTCGAGCCCTCAGCACCTGCCTTTGTCCCCAGATGCCCATTTGGGGCTGGCTCGATGTGACCCGTGTGTGAGGCACGTGCAGGGGTGTTGCCTCATTCTCAGTCCTCAGCGCTGGGCATCCCTGGGAAGCTGCCCCAGGCCCCTGTTGTTAGCGCCCCCAAACCCAGCTGCCGCGGGCTGTGGGTCAGGCCAGGCCAGGCCAGGCCGAGCCCCAGAGGCCAAGAAGGCTGGACTGGAAGGGTGGCCGTGGCCGGTGTGGGGCATGAGCCCGGCTGCCTTGCCTCCCTGCCCACTGTGTCTGTATTGCTCCGTCTGTCCACCCCTGCCCCAGCGCTCCCTTCTCTCTGCCTCAGCTCTGGGCCCTGAGCAGGCAGGCCCTGGCATGCTTGGGCCCATCCTCTCTGCCAGCTGTGCTCAGTTGCCCCTGCTCCTCTGCAGCTAGATGTGTCGGCCTTGCCTGGCACAGCGGCCGCTCCGGCCGCCCCAGCCCCGGCACATGCTGGACGCCCCCTCCCACTGCTGGGGGGCTGGAGGGCCGGGCTGGGTGAGGCCTCCTTACCCGCGGTCTCTGGTCCCTGTCCGCCTGCAGCAGATGCACTCCAGGCCCACAACGCGGTCTTCCAAGAGCACACGGCCCCCTCCTCGCCCGGCACAGCCCCCACTGCCCGAGGTTTCCGCCGGGCCAGCGAGATCAGCATCGCCAGCCAGGTGTCGGGCATGGCCGAGAGCTACACGGCGTCCAGCATTGCCCAGAGTGAGTGCAGCAGTGCCGGGGCCTGCCCTCCCCGTCACAGCAAGGGGGCTGTGCCCTGTCGCAGCCAGTCTCAGTGGCGGCCACTGTGCCCGTCCCCCAGAGGACAGTTTGCAGCGTCTGGAGGCAACTGGGGTGGGCGCCACTGGCATCTGGTGGGTGGAGGCCAGGTGTGCTGCTCAACACCGTACGGTGCCCAGGACGGCCCCGCAGCAAAGAGCGATCCGGCCCCCGTGTCCATAGAGGACTCTGCGAGGAAGGAACGTTGAAAGGGGTGGCCCTGGGGCAGGGCATGGGGGGCAGGTGCAGGTGGTGGGAGATGGGTGTTGCTGTCTCAGCTGGGGGGGGGGG